TTATAGGAAAACAGGTAAATAAATATGCTGTATGTCTTCCAGGTGAGTGCCAAATGCTGAACATGGCTGAATAAAAAACATTAGCAGAGGCAAACATATTTACTCAGATGATTAAGTGATTTTTCAAATCTTTTCAGGGACAAGTTCAAAATCTTGAAATTGGCATGTTGGCTATTAGATTGTATTCATAATATAACAGATGAAACTCTTGGAAAATGTGCAAGAATGCGTGAACACAGGAGTCAGAGCACTTTAAATGTCATCGTGCAGCTCGACAATCACAATCAGTTCAGGCATTTGTGGGATAGTTTATTTATAAATGGCATAAAAAGGAACAAAACTGAAGAAGAAATTGTTTGCAAGACACACACACACACACACACACACACACACACACAAAGAACAATCTATTCAGATCATTGTTGGAGCAAATTACTCTGATCTTCTGCTGCTCCAAATCAGCGGGTCGTTTTCTGCGCCTGGCTCTGCCTGAGCTCGGCCCTTTGTTGTCGCGTTAAGGAGGCCGTCATTGTTGAGGTGGATCAGTTGATTTGGGGAAGTCCGGTACCACGGCTAATCCTTGTGACCTGACCTGTCTCCAGTGGGAAACGTTCGCTCTCCCTCCGCTTTGGGCAGCCGTGTTGACAACACAGCACCCGGCTACCTCAGACAAACAGCCGAGCTTCTCAGGGGCCAAATTAAAAACTCCAAAGAATTCAACATTGAACTTTACAAGCTTCAGAAAATGTTGGGAGATATGATTTTGCATTTGCCGTTTCTAAAACCCGTGGGTAATGATCTATGTTTTTATTGCACTGCGAGAAGAATTATTACGACTCACTTTATGTCTGGATCAGTCTGGATCTTTCAGCTCACTCAGGATGCTGCTACCAGTTTTTCAATCATTGCATCCAAACACAAATATGTTTTCAGTGAATTTTGACACTGCGAGTTAGCCTGTTTTTGCTTCTGCTTATTACACTTTCATACAGTTTAATAAGCGTTTATATTGTATTGTTTTCATTTGTGTCTTGTTCTCATGTGTTTTGTGCTGTAGTATAGCAGCTAGGCTAGACATTGTTTTTTTTTCTTAAAAGTTTTTATCAATAAAATGGATTTGATCCACTGATTTTTTTTTATGAATAACCTTCTTTTAATTCTCAATATATGGGTGGAGCCATGAGCACGTGGCCGCATGGGGAGCTTCCTATGACACGGCAGCCGAGACAAATCGAGGTTGCAGTTCTGACGTACTCAAATAAAACCAAACATTTCGCTTTGTGTTCAAGACAAACATCCAAGAGTATCAAGTTAAGGTTAAGGACTAAAACTAAGATTCATCTGGATGCTGTCACGACTGACTGGAACAAACCCAGACGACTTCATTTGCTGCTCATAATTACGCTGCTGTACACCGAGCAGCTCTCTGGTGGCAGACGTAAGGTCTGCCAGTGGTTGAGATGTTTTTGTGGCTGCAAAAAACAGGAAAGAACCGCAGAGGCTGATACGACACAAAGTCTGGCCGGGTGGACCGAGGCAAAACCAGTCACAGCCCGACTGGTGGAGAGGGCCTGGCTTATGCCTGTAGCTAACAGATGAGTTATATTAGTGGGTAACCTGACTTCTTAATTTAACGTATGATATCTAGATTTCCAGTAGGTGACCAGTTATGATGTGAAAAGTACTTTTTCTACAAACCAGTTAGTCTAATTGCAAGTAAAGTAAGCAGTTTAGTGATGATAATGGGCTTTGTTAACAATGAAACACAACACAGTAATGCCACATGAATCTACTTGGCACAAAAATCAATATCAACAAATGGCATTTGCACACAAACGTCAAGTTGCTGTGTCCTTTCTGCAGCACACACCAGTCGATATGAATAGCAACACACACTCAGACTTAACCAGTCACAGACAGAAGGACGTTCCTGGAGCAACCGATCGATACAGTTGGCAACCCCACTTCCATTCCCGACTCTCCTTCTCTAACTGATCTAACACCAAGTTAAAGATCAGACCAGGCACAAATAAAATCCAGTGTCGTGTGAAATCTTGTAAAGACAAAATACGTTTTGCATTTTTAAGGATTTACACAGCAGCTGTGAGGATTTTTTTAAAATTACCGAAACACATGAAGACACTTTTTTATTGCCGTTTATCATGAGAAGCTTCATTTGGACCAGCACAGTCAGTGTGCTTCTTTTGACCCTGCATTTAATAACAGTTGTTAGTAGGGGTGCACCGATTGCAGTTTTAAAAGAGCCTGACCTACCGATTCCAATTGTGGCCAAAACTCATTTTCTTTGGTTCAAAATATCTAAAAATTTGCTAAATATAGCAAGAAGATCGTTGGAGTGGCAGCAGTGGGGTGAGTGTTGCTAACTGTAGACGTGCAGACATGACCTGGTGGATGGGGCTAAGAGTCAAACCTCTCGGGAGAGTAGAAAAGGACAGTGGTTGATTTTCGACCTTTGCCAAGGAAATTATGAGCGCAGCTTATAATTGGCTTTACATATTGACCGATCATCGCTCCCAAAATTAAGGAAATCATCTGGCCGATAAATCAGTGCGCCCCTGAACAACAGTCAGGGCCCAAAGCATTGACATCCCATGCTTCGTACCACAGGATCAGTGGGAACCCAGAAATCTGTCTACTTGCAACCGTCACGCAAAGCAGCACAAATCACAGTTGCTAAAAAAAAATTTTTAAATTGTGATTTGTAACATTTGACAAAGAAAGTCAAGGCTCAGGGGTCATCTGTGTGCCAAAACTTTTAAGTGGCTGCAAACATGTACCGTTTCTTTATGTTGTTTTTCCCTTCAGTTCTCTCTCACACCCACACTTGCCCCCACTACACCAGGAGCATATCACCGAATGAAATGGAGCTTGCAATTGCCCATTATTCAATTGACTGGAGCCCACACTTAACCATTTGCACGACTGTGGTTCAGCTAATTGTCTGTTGAGGCTCCCAGTAGGCTTTCACCGGCTGAACAACGTTGCATAATCTAATAGCTTCGGATTCATGGCACGACACCAGGGATGGAGGGCAAAGGGAGAGCAAGGCTGCTGGTTGGACGTTAGGGGCTGGTGTGATGAATCTCAGTTCGATGGTTGAGAAAATTGGCTACTACAATCTCAGCACCCTTTGGGTTCATGCCATTAGAACACATTATACTTGGAAAGGCTCCAGATTGTTCTCTTTAGAACCCTTAAGAAATTGTCATACACTTCTCATCCATATTTATCTTTCTCAATCTCACCCACCCTCTTCCTAATCCCTTCAGCCACCATTGAACCGACCCCCTTAATACCTCCCCTTCCTTTCTTTTAAATCCTGTCCTTGACCTCGCAGCACTCTGCAGTCCACCACCTCCTCCTCCCCCATCTTTCCATGCAGCTCCTTCACTGAACAGTACCCCCAACACCCAGCTCAAATCCACCCAGACTGGTCCAGTCAGTCAGTAGTGGCCCATGGCAGTGATGACCCCCTCAGGGCCTAAAACATAGGGGCCCCAGCTGAGGAGTCGGGGCAGCTGCCAACCACTGGCCACTCAACCCCAGGCTGTCCGGATGATTGCGTTTGTCAAGCCGCCACTCTGAGTCAGCCTGTCGCAGATCTGATCTTGACAATTAGGGATACAGTGAGGAAGGGGTTGAAAAAACAGAGAGGGGCTTGTGGCAGGGTGGGTTACTGTGGCAGGGTGGGTTACTTCCTTCTTCTTCACACCAATGAAGAAGTAGGGACTTTGCATTACATATTCATAAATTCAAAAAATGTTGTAGCTTTCCAAGAGGAGGTTCATGTCTTAACTCTGTACACACAGAGAGAGAAAGAGCGGCAGATATGAGAAGAACAAATCTCACGTGAGTTGTTGTGACCCCTGGAACCTAATTGTACACAGTCATGATGTTTATAGGACAAGAGCAACTGGTCTTAACCACAAATAATACTTTTCCTTGTCAAAATAATTGGAAAAAACAACAACAGCTAAATTAAATAAAATGTCATATTTTAAGGATTTTCACCAAACTTTATTTGCTGCAGGTAGATTTTACGCCTGGTCCGGTGCTTTCTGCCTCACTCATGCAGGTCATTTTAAAGACACGCATGAAAGAGTGATGTCTAAAAACTGAGTTTTGACATGAAAGCATTTCCACCAAAACGACTCAGGTGAGGATGAGAGAACATCCAGAAACATTCAGAGAAAGGAAATCTGAAAACCAGGAGAGAGAACTGTCCAACTGAAGAAGTGACATTAACGTCATTTTGTTGAAATGAAACAAAATAACAAGCCCTGGATTTTGCTCACTCTAAATTGTGTGTCAACCATATGAAAACCTTAAAAATCATAAATAGGCCACCCATTCTCTTCGTAACTGTATAGTTTTCAAATGTATGGTGAGTGCACCCTCTACTGGTGATTACGGAGCACTGCGATCATTCAGAGTGAAGTCTGAATCTCTGGCCCTCCGGGACAGATCGTGCAGTGACGACACTGCCGACATAGAAATGAAGGCGTAGATGTCGGCTCTTACCCTGAAAACTTACGTCAGTATCGCCCCCTATGTGTCGGGTGGACGCATCTCCCCTCGCTCCGGACCAATGCAGCTCAACACCGACAAATTCAGACGTCAGCTTTTTTTTTTGAGCTGCTTCCTGGAGTTATAGTATAAGAAAATAAAATTACTTTCTTATTGAAAAGTTAGTATTGAAATTGTCTTCATTTCCAAACGAGATCCAGCTGAAACGTTGTTTCTTCCGCTCTGATAATTGATAAATTATGTTCTGATATATAAATTATATTCTGATAAATAAAATATCAGAAGGCTGATAACAGTGACACATGATGACACAGCTCCATCATGTGTCACAGCATCACTCCTGAGTCCATATTCAGATTGAGTTACCGGGTAAAAGACAGGAAAAAAAACTGACAATTGTATTTTGCTAAATAAATAAATAAAAAGCGGCAACATCTATGTATCTACATCTATGTTGCTGGTGCTAATGACAGAAGCTAACCCCTTAGCTCTCCGCGAGGCGCTCAGAGGCAGCAGCCGGATCACCGGCGTCTGGCTGGAGGAAGCGAGGCGAGTTGAACAGAAAAGCTCGGTTCGAAACGAGAGAAGAGGAAAATGGACAGGGCGGTCAGTCTCCCCGGACAACCAGAAAAGGTCACCACAGGTAACACCTTCACTCACTCAGTGCGAAACATGAAGGGAACATTTATTCTGCGCCGAGTCTAAACAAGAAAAACAAGAGATATCAGTCCGCGTCGTCATATTGTCACTGTATTATATTTGGTGGGGGGTAAACGCTGATATTATGTGGTGTAGTAAAACTGTCAGTACGTATTCACTACTGTTTTCGTAAGGCAGAGGCAGAGAGGTTACACAAGCCTGGGTCTCTACTGGCTGCCAGCTGTTGACAGCTTGAGGAGCAAAGACTCCACAATATGTTCACTGGGAAAAACAATATGATCAAGTTATTGGTGAAGCTGCAAGGAGAATTGCTTTCAGTTTTAGCAATAATATCACATTTTATTTGATCGAATACTACACTGTTGGAGTGTTTTTATTGCTAAATCATGTTTAACTAATTGATCCCAGTATTAAACAATGTTATTTAAACAGTGAGAACAGTGAAGAGATCATCCGAGTTAAGAAATGATTGATTATCACCTGTGCAGGTGTCATCTTTGCATTATGTTGCTTGGTCTTCTTCCTTGACATTCAGTCAAATTACATCATGTCAAATTTCAGTATATTTTGTCTTTTTCTGTGTGAACTGTACGATCACGGTTTACTTGCACTTGCAAAAAAAAAAAAAAAAAAAAAGCATCATAAAGTCAGGGATTACCAGGACTCTGTGACTCGTCCTGACGTGTGTTGCAGTGAACCTGGTTGAGACCAGCACGGCCCCCAGTGGAATGGAACTGGTCAGCTCCTATCAGACCAACAGAGTGGGGGACCCCATGGACCTGGTGGCGCTTGCCGAGCAAGTGCAGAAGGTGAGGCGTTTTGACAAGTTGTCCAGCTCACAATAGCGTGTTTTACTCCTGAAGTGACGCGGGTGTTTCTCAGGGGGACGACTTTGTTAAAGCCAACGCTTGCAACAAGCTGACAGTAATCGCTGACCAGATCAGGTACCTGCAGGAGCAGGCCAAAAAGGTAGGACCGTCAATTCACAAAGCAGTCGTGTTTATGTTCAGACGGGTCACATTCACCCAATGACATTGATCGCTGATTGACGATCGCAGGCTTTAGAAGAAGCAAAGAGAGACGCTGACCTCCACCATGCTGCCTGTAATATTGTGAAAAAGCCAGGCAACATGTACTTCTTGTACCAGCGGCCGTCTGGACAGCAATACTTCTCCATCATCTCCCCAAAGGTTGGTTCCATGAAACAATCTTCGAGTTATGTCACCTCTGCTCATTTTATGTATTATCTAACACACACGGAGGAGGAGTCTCTGCAGGGAGCTCATATGAATACTTAACATGTCTCAGCAGTTCAGTGCGCGTGTGTGTGTGTGTGCGCGTGTGTGTGCATGTGCGTGTGTGTGATGTCGCAACAGTTGCAGTTCAAACTTTGAACTCTCGGCAGTGAGTTGCTGTCCTCTTTATTTACCAGAAGTGTTCAGTATCGTTTCAGTAGCCGCTTACATTTCGCCCCCAGCTGTTGCCGACGAAGGATGTGAAGTCATCGGTTCAGTTGATGATAAGTGACAGACGCCACTCCCCAATGCGTTTCTTTGAGAAGGAATTAGTAGATGCATAAGAGCCTTTGCGCGGGAATAAGTGGGATAAAATATATCACGACAACTTTCGAGTAAAATTTGTCCAGTGGACAAAATCTCACGTCCAATTGGCAGCCAAATGTTTATTAAGTTAGCATGACAGTGTTTTTTGATTCAGTCATCTTGTTTTATCTCTATCTGGCTTACCCGTTTTCCCTTTTCCTTTGAAGGAGTGGGGACCAAGCTGCCCTCATCCGTTTCTCGGTGCATTCAAGCTTCAGCATGACATGTCCTGGACTCCTGTGGATGAGGTGGAAAAGAGGGACGCAGAGCTCGCCGTTATGGGGAAACTGCTCAGCCACCAAACAGCCCTGCCTCCATGCATAGGACCCAATTTCAGAGGTCTAGATGAATAAAACTGGACAAAAAATATGATCGGTTTATACAGATTCAAGTCCCACACAGGGACTAAAAAACTGCTGTCAGTGAGTCTCTGTTTTATCTTAAGCTGCCATAAATGCATAATGCTTTATTTCTAAAGAATGTGTGTTTTTCATTTTCTGGAAAATATCAAACCGGGACTCATGAGAGTGTGTGTGTGCTTAATGTTTTTACTGTGCTTATACTTCACCAATCATTAACACAAACCAATGGTTTAAATGGGACGGTCATTCCTCTACAGCAGTCGGACATCAATACGCTTTGGGGACGGAGAAAAACGTCAGAGTAGACAAGCGTCTTTCTTTTCACCATCAACTGGTGCAGTTTCTGGAATTCTGTTCGAAAAGTAAAACTCGTGTCAATTCATTACACAGAGAGAAATGCGTTTCAAGTGTTTACTTTTCTTCATTTAATTTCTGGTTTCAAGTTGACAAAAACCCCTAATGGAGTTTTTTCAAAACATTGAAATGTTGCATCAGGCTAATAAAGCCAAATTTTCTTACGGAAACCTTCTGCACTCAGTACTTGATCAGGGCTCCTTTTGGATGAAATACTGCATCCATGCACCGTGGCATGGAGGCAGTCAGCCTGTGGTTCTGCTTAAGTATAATGGAGCAGTGACCTTCATCTCTGTTAGTTCTGCTTTGTCTTACTTACTCTTCCCAAAAGCCCACAGATTTTCTGTGGGGTTCAAGTCAGGCCTGTTTGTTGGTGTTCAAATGGTCATTAAACCAGCTTTTGGTAAGTTTAGCAGTACAAAGTCCTGCTAGAAAATAAAATCACCATCTCCATAAAGCTTGTCAGCAAAGGGAAATGACTGCAGACTTCAGAAAACCCAGTGAACCAACACATGACATGGCAACCCAAATGAAAACATAACTCTGGACAGAAGCAGGGTGGAGGTCGTGTCTCTCCACTCCAACTCCAGACTCTGAAACTTAATTTCCAAATGAAATTCAAACTTTTATCTGTTTTGCAATGTGAAGCACTTTGAACTGCCCCGCTGCTAAAATGTGCTGTACAAATAAACCTGATTGATTTAAGTTGATCTGAAACAAAAACTTTGGACGACCAAAGTATAGTTGTTTTTCTCCAGGTCAGGTAAGACACTTATGACGTCTGTCTCTGGTTCAGGACTGGCTCCATACAACGAAGGAGTCGATCTTCAATCTCTGAGCTGCCGTCGACGCCTTCTCAGATTTTTCAATGAGCTTTGCTTCGCAGTTCTCTTACAGCTGCAGTATGTAACTGTTAAAAAGAATATCATTTTTCAGGGCCGGTAGTGCAATCTGAACATTTTAACACGTTATTACATAATGCAGATTAATCAAAGCACCTACTTTGACCTGGCCATAAATTTCAAATTGTCCTCATTTTTAAATTTGCATTTATAAAAAAACAGAACAAGAAGGTCCTCCGAAGAGACATTACTTATATGTACAAAACCAAAAAGAAATTAGAGCCGACTGACACTTCCTCCAAAATGAACCAACTCTTTACTACCATTTTTTATTAATCATCCAATATTCTTGCACGTTGAGTTTAACACAAGGTTCCCTGTTTGGACCACAGGGATTGTAAACTTGTTAATCTTTCCATCTCATAAATGTCAATAACACATTCTGTCCATATCCGTCTTAACAATGATGTGTCATGGCTTGACTTCGGCTGGGCTATCTCCGTGTTAAAAATACTTTGATTGATTTTATGTCATTGATTTGGCACCAGTGGGGTTTGACAGTAATATGACAGGAAGGGGGCAGAGAGACACGCAGCAAAGGAACCGAGGATGAGAGTCGTACTCGCGACGCCCCGATGTAATGTATGTTTCTTTTAGTTTGAACAGATCAGAGTATTTTATTATGGAGAACAAATCTAAATGTTAATATCTGAATCAGTAAAGAAAGGGAACTTTTCAAATGTAGTCAAAAGAAAATGTATTTAACTTCATACATTTATTAAAAGATCATCAAAGTGCAATAGTCTCATTTCAAATCAATTATCTGCTTTTTTACGCTACGCTGAAACATTTCCATGTTAAGATCACGAGACAGAATTCTCTAGTGAAGAAGTGACTTTCAGCAGGTATGAGTTCATGTGAGGAAGCAGCCGACAGTCATCGGTGGCCATGTTGAAGTGCGCGGCGTCCTCCGTGGAGCTGATCTTAAGCAGCATGTGAGACTTTGGTGGGAGAAACAAGAGCGCCCTGAACTTGGCCGACTCCTCCAACGGGTCTGGCACAAGGAAGGACTGGAAGCGTTTCTCCACCAGAGCTTTCAGAGCGGCCTCCCCCAGCTGGCAGCAAAACAGACTGACACAAGACTCTCCCGTCTCACGGTGCATTTCGTCCCACAGGCCCTCAAAGACATCTCGTCTGCTAGCACTGCTCCAGGTTGGTGGTGCAGGCAGAGGCAGGAAGACCTGCTGGAATGCCACGTGGATGTCCGGCATGGCGGTGTGCCAGGTGAGCCCGTCCTTAGAGGTGAAGATGGCGCTCGCGTGGATGGTGGTTGGGTACGGCCGTCTGGGCTTCAGTGTCAGCCGCACCACGGGGGGTGGTCCCTGTCTGAAGAGACAGGGGACGGTGATGTCCTGCAGCTCTTCGTAGTGATCGTCTGTCAGGCTGAAGTGAAGCTGGATGCTGAAAAGCTGCTCGAAGCGAGGGTCATGGGGCTCCGTGTGGGTCAGGTGGTACTTTAACACAATAAGTGAAGCAAAGCCAGACTTGCTGAATTGAGCCCTGTAACATTCCAGTGTGTTGTTCTCGTCCTCCTGATTCAGCTGAAGGTTTTCTGCCTCTTGATGTGGCCCTGGTAAAGCCTCAGTCAGCTGAAATATGGGTTTCTCGGTCTGGTGGACGGTCAGGGTGTTTGTCAGCCCCTCGCTCTCTGCCATAACGCAGGACAGCGTTCGCTTCTTGACTTGACCGCCGCCCTCTGCGGCATTCTGCACCAGCACTGCGGACAGCTTCTCCCGGGATAACATGGTGAGGAATGTGTAGTAGAGGCGGGCGTGGTCCCTGATGTCCGTGTCGCCATAGTGGAAGGCAAGATGCTGCAGAATGTCCGCCAAAGGAATAAGCATAGAGTCCAGATTGGGATGAAGGAGCACACGGCGGCAAACTCCCAGCAGGCCATTTCCCAATCGCCAGTCACCGCTGGTACACAGAGAGGAGGACGTTTGGGTGACAATGGTGGACAGAAAGCTTAGGGAGCTGCGCTGACAGATTTCTTCTTCCTCTGCCACCCGAGTCAGCACCTTAAGGTGGCTGCTAAGGTCTTGTAGGGGGAGCTGGCCGAACGGGATGCTGGTTATCACTTTCTGGAGGCCCTGCAGGAGCCCCACAAACCACTTGCACTCCGGTAACCTCTCTCGAGTCTGATTGACTAGGTTGAGGATGTGTGGGGCCAGCCGGGTGTGTTGGAGGTAGAGATGACAAAGCTGCTCACTAAGGCAAGTTGCATACCGCTCCACATGGTGGAAGTAAAACAGGAAGAGGAAGGCGGCTCTGAAAAAGGTCACAACAATATCTCTGCTGCCTCCCCTGTCCACGATGTGCAGCAGCGCCACAAGGTGGTCGTAGATGTAGGCCAGGCCCCGGCTGTCCTCGTCCCCCTCTTCCAGGAAGACCAGAGCCTGCAGGTTGAGCCGGCTCAGCAGGGTGGCGCTGTCGTTAAACACCGAAGGCAGCAGGGCCGAGGCCAGCTGTGGGGTCAGCAGCACAGGAGGAGCCTCGTCGCCATCACCGCAGCTGATTGGACGGTTCTCTGGAAAGTGCAGGATGCAGTCCATGTAGAAGAGCTTCTCGGGCGCGCTGAGGAGCGGGTGCTGGGAGAGGACGACCAGCCGCTTCAGGAGGAAGGCTTCGTCTTCAGCGCTGAAGAGGCTGTCGGTGAAGCCGCACTTCATTAGCAGGGTGACATGGAGGAGGCAAACCTGACGGTGTCAACAACAGAGGGGAAAAACGTGTTCATCGGTTTTAGGAGCTCTTGGTATTGCTAACTCAAATTCATGCCACGTCTGAAATGACCAAAAACGATGCAAGTAGCTACAACCATTCCAGCTCTGGGCTCTAAAGGAATGTTGACGCACGGCTTAAAATGAAACTAATTTACGGTGCCTGGCAAACATACCAACAAGTCAGCCTATTTTAAATGACATGCCAACACAAATTGGTGTACAATTATAAGCTGGGAGGAAGTTTATCATTTTCTCCCTGCAGATTTTTCTTTCTAACATTAAAAAGAAAAATCCGAAAAATGTAGCATCCCACTTTACTTTGAAAATAATCCCTGAACACAAACCTCGTTGGTTCCCAGCAGTCGCAGGAGCTGAGCTCGAAATACGGTTGGAGGGATCCCGGGCACCATGGTAACAACTTCAGTCAGTCTGTGGAAAAGTGCAGCCTGACACAAAGGCGTGAGGAGATAGGACTCTTCTAAAAGGGAAGAGAGGACGGACCGCAGCTCCTTACAGTCAGGTCCGGTGTGAAGGGTCGGCACTCTGCCCATTGGTCCAAGGATGAGGGACGACAGCATGGCTGCATCCTTGGTGTCCATGTGGACGGCGTCCTGGTCTGCCTCCCACGCAACAGAGCCATTTCCTCCTAACAGAGCTTTAAGATGTGCAGCTCCTGCTCCTGCTTGCTCAGTGAGCTGATAAATAGCATTTCTCAGCACCAGAATCTGCAGCCCTCCAAAAGCCTGATGAAGCCTGTAGGTCTCCCGCTGCCGCAGCCCGGCCAAGAGCTCGAGGTGCTGGGAGAGAAGTCCAGGACAGCTGGCCTCCATCTCGCGCAGGCAGTCGCAGGCCGTCGCTCTGAGAAGGTGCTGCGTGCCATCGCCGGGGGGTTCGCTGGCGTCCTGAGCTACCCGAAGGAGCACGTCGAGAAAGTCCAGGGCAGCTCGGGAGCGGCCGTTCACACAGGAGGAGCAGACAAGAACGCTGGTGAGGGCCACGAGGAGATGGCAGCGAAACTGGCCGAACCTGGACGGACACTGGGTGAACACCGACATAAGATCCAGGGCTGTCTCCTCGCCGGCGGATCCCGAGGAGCACAGCAGGGTTGGATATTCACAGAGGGGAGACAAC